GAGTCATTAGGGGCAATTTGATAAAACTATTTTTAATTATCATAATAAAGGGCTTTAATCTTTTTTAAAAAATCTTACAAGTCAAGAAAAAAGATACCAATCTGGTAGGAAAATAATAAAGAGCTATGGGGAAATAATACTTATAAAAAGAAATACAGGGGCTGGGGTTGTAGCTCAGAGGTAGAGCACTTGCCTAGCACATGTGAAGCACTGGGTTGGATCCTCAGCACTGCATAAAAATAATAAATAAAATAAAGGTATTGTGTCCAACTATAACTTAAAAAAATAATGCCTTTTTAACACATAAAGAGATGAAAATTAAAACTATAATGAGAGCTCAGTGGAAGAGGGCTTGCCTAATGTATGATGCACTGGGTTTGATTCTGAGCACCACGTACAAAGAAATAAAATAAAGGTCCATCAACAACTAAAAATTTTTTTTAAAAAAAAAAGCTATAATGAAATCAATTTATTTCTTTTCTTAATAAGTTGACAAATAGCCAAGCTATTGATAGCACATCATCTTGTTGAAGGCAGAGAAACAGCCACTGCCATATAATACTGATCAGAGTGCAATCTGAAATTACCTCTGCATGAGAGGAGTTTTGCAATAGATTTTTAATGCTTGTATCTCTCTATTCAACAATACTACTTCTAGTAATGTATCCTAAAGCTATTCACCTACATGATTGGAAAACAAAAATCCAATCATATATTGCAAAATTATTTGTAATAATAAAGGGTTGGACACATCCTAAAAGCCCATGAATGAAAGACTGATTCAATAAATATGGCACATTTGCATAAAGGATTATTATGGAGTCAGTAAAAAGAACCCAGTAGTTATAGATGTACTGATATGAAAAGTCTCCAAGATTACAGACTCAAGCACACAGAACAAGGTGCAGAACTGTGAGTACAGCAAATTATCTTGTGGACATGCACTGGTATGCATGAGAGGGTAATAAAAAATTTTTAGAAACAACTAGCAAATTGGTTCCCTCTGGGGAATTTTAGGGAGCTTGTGCTTTATAGCAATGCAAAAATTAATTTCAAAACTGTTAATACAGTAGGGGGAGGTCTGAAGGAAACCAGCAGTGAGATAAAATAGACGAATAAGGGAATTTTCTTAAGAATATTGCCCCAAAATCCAGGCAACCTAGGAGCCACAGTAGGAGAGAGATTCCTTAACTCTGGGGGGTGGTGGTGGTTAATTTATTCCTAAGAAATGAATTCTGCTGGGGATTCGGACAGTGCCTTTAGGCCACAGCTAGTGTCAGGCAATGCCTATGGAAGGCTGGTGAGGAGCCAATGCATGTGTGAAAACTAGGAAGAAGAGGCACTTGACTCACTTATAATACTGCAGATCTGATGAATAAACTAACTTATTTATATCCAGAAGATGACATATGTGTATAGTCTTCATCCTTATAAGGAAATGCTCTGGCCCTCTCACACCTACATTCACATAAGATGTTAAAAGAAGGAAAAATCGGTCGATCAAGCAACACTCAGGATTTACATTACATCTTTCTCCTAAGAGTTCAAAGGGTTTCAGTGTTATGCCCTCCTTTATCCACAACATGTAGATATGTACAGTAGAAAATAAATGGTACAAAGTTGGGGAAATGAGGCCAAGTCTCAAGGTGAATCACTTGCAGAAATAGGCCTGCAGTTCAACTTTCCTCATTAAGCATCATGTTTTTCTTTTTTTTTTTTTTTAATATATTAAGTCCATTTTGAAAGCAACAATTAAGAATGTCATCTTTGGTATACACTTAAGTATGTACACACATTTATGCACTTGTAAACACATAAAACCATACATGCACACACACACACACACACACACACATATGCACACTCACTAATTATATAATTTGGCCTCGGAGTCAGCTCTCTCGATGTGCTTAAACCACACTTATGCATAAAAATCAGTGTATAATAATAACAGTGAAAGTGACCATAAGACTGTTATAAATAAGGAAACTCGCATATGTCATTGTAACTCAGAATTTTGAGTCTGAGATCAAGTGAGAAAGAACAAATTAAGAAAAAAAAAGACAATTACAAGCCAAATACAGTTGTCACTGCACCCACTAAAAGGATTTAATTTAAAACTCAAACATCATCATGTTGGAAGGGGAAATGAAAAGCTAATAGCATGCATTGACGTTTACATAAAATTAGTATGTAAAGTGAGATATATGGCCCTAATGATGAATATGAAGCAACGGTTTGGATTTTAACAGACTAAGCAAAATGTAATTGACAAAGAAGCAAATCTAAATGAATTTCTAGCTATTTAAACACTAAGTGCAGCTGCATGTTAATTGTCAGTGGTATGAATTAGAAAAAAAATCTGTTTAAGCTAAAAATTCAAAAAATAAACACAGCCAATATGTGAGCTCACACCCTGTACTGAAGTTCCCATTCACTCAGTCAGAAAAAAAAAAGTAATTTTTAAAATAATTTTTAAACATCAGAAAATTCCATCTTCAGTTACTTCATACTGATTGGGGAAAAAGGTTTGGTTGTGGGTGGGGGACAAAGAAAAAGATTAAAGTGTTTCTGAGAGAAGGAAGCATCTTTCATTTCTGGAATTAAGTCAAGAGTAAAACATTTGTTTTCAAGAAGTAGTTCACACCAAAATATTTCATTGAAATACCACTAAAGTCAATGGGAACAATTTAGGGTTTACAGTTAACTTTCCACTAACTGTCTTCCATTCCACTATATCAAAAAATAATCCATTGTATTAAAGTGAACACAACAGCACCCTTCATAGGAGTTGATTTCACAGCACACAGTATTTTAGTGGCAGTTATAAGACCCAGCTCTGGCATCAGCGTTCCTTGTTCAAATCCTAACCCTACCTTTTTTTTTTCTTTTTTTTTTTTTTTTTGCTGTTTGAGCAGAGTACTGAGCCTACATAACATATTACATAGACATCAAGAGCATATACCTCCTAGGATCATGATGAGAAGTACATGTATTCCCATACAGGTAACTCCAACCATTGCCCTGCACATGCTCAGTAACAGTGAACCATTATCAACCTCAGTCAAGACAGCAGTATTTCAGACTAGATATATTGTGGTAAAAAACAGAGACAAAAAAGATGGTGGCAAGCATGCCATGATTTTGTTGGTCCCCAAACGTGAAGAAAATACTGTCATCGGCCACTTCCGATACTCTTTCATTGGAAGATGGAAGCCACAGGAATATCTCTGGCCACTTCGCAGTAAAGACCAATTCTGGGAGAGAAACTGAAGTGTCCCTGGCCTCTAAAATGCTGTACAAGTGACTCTAGAACACAATGAGGCATCAATCCTCCAGCTATCTTAGGATGTGCTTTGAGATCTTGGCATATTCTCCCTATAACATCATCAGCCCTCAAAGGGATTGCTTAATTGACTGATCATGCACCTGACTTTGCATCTGATCTTTGTCCAGATCCCTTGGAATATACCACCAAATGTTTCATTTATCCTTGTATTTTCCAAGGTCATGCAAAGGACAGAGCAGACACACACATAAAATCTAAGTCGGCTCAGAAAGACTTCATGTTCATTCTTCCCCTTTAATTTACTGGAAGTTCCAGCCTCTGAATAGAAGGAAGAAGGCCAAGTCTACAAGCATCTTGGCAGGGTGACAAGTCACTGAAGAGATGTGAATTCCCACAAAATAAACACACCAAGCCCAGGCTCCTCCACACCCACTCAAGTCCAGTCAGACTATGACCAGAATGGCATTGCTCCCAAGAGATCAAGACAAGGAAAAGGGAAAGGACCTCAGCTTTGATTGACAAACCAACTCTGGCTAGAAAGGAGGACAAGAGGGTCTGCCAGTACACACCCAGGGGCAGCAACCCCAACTCCAAGGCAGCTGACAGGGATGCTTCCTGCTACCTGCTTAAGAAGGCAAGGGGTTGTATAGCATCCCTCTACGACCCAGTTGGACAAGAAGACCTGAGAAAATACTGCTGGAGTAAAGATAAACTAAGAAAACATCAACCTCTTCCAACACTTGGTCCTACCTTCCTTTCTGAGGTTTCTTTGTGCTATCTGCCTCATCAAAGGCTTAAGTCTTCAATCTCAGAAAAACCTGCTCTCCAAAGGGAATCTACTATCTTTACTTACACCTCAGCATACATTTAATCCTGTTTTATTCTCCCCCAAATTATTTTGACCATGACTTCTAAGGCAATGAAAGGCTTTATGCCTTATCCAAACAGAGTTGATGTTAAAGCATGAATATCCCAGAGTGAACAATCTATTCTTCTCCCACAAGCTATGAGGTCTCATCTGTGAACCCAAATGGTCCTATTCTCACATTAAATGTCTAAAACAGATAATTACTATTAACATAAATTGGACTTAAAAATAATCTGAGCAGATCAATTCCTTTATATTCCCAAATTCTGTAGAAAGATGAAGGATCACAGTGGAAAGAGTTGTCAGAAAACATCATTTTTGGTCCAGCAGTCACCACAAGCTTACAACCACAAACACATCTTTTGGATTTTTTTGGTCCCCAATCTCCAATGATAAAATTAACGGGTTTGATAACCAAGCTCCTTTCAACTCTACAATTTGATGATCCATTTGTCATCTTTCATTCAAGTACTTTCTGACATTGTGATAGCAAAATTTCAATCTGCATCTAGAAATGAAGATGAACTATGCAACTGAAGATATAAAAATGAACTTTAAAAATTAATGTCATACGTGTGTGACAAAGGAAATAGAGAATGTTGTACAACTGGACACTTTTCCCTTGGCTTATGATTCGGGGGTATCTGATTGTAATACCATTATGGTTATTTTTATTTTTTTCTTCGTATACCACGCTGCAAACTGGAGTGCAAAACAATAAAGATCTTAACCTAAGGCTCCCTCTAACTCTAATGTGACCTCTCAGAGGTCAGTAAGGCTAGCACAAGGAAGCCTGAGCATGGAACCGGTAGGGTCCCTGAGGGTTTATTTCTTAGTGCTCACCTTCCACTAGTTGGTCCAGGCTGGAAATCTTCTTGAGCCCATCAATGGTGTAGATTGTTCTCACTCCCTGGGGCAAATTCACGTTATCCGACAGAGTTCGGGTCAAATCAGCCAGGAGGGCCTCAAAAGATCGGAAGCGGTCTGGGGAGATGGCGTACACAATCCCTTTGAAATATCGATCTCCATTTCGATAGAAACGAACTTTCTTGGCCTTCTTCTCCGAGCTGAGGGTCTGCAGCGTGCGGGTGCGGTAGAAGCTGCAGTGGGCACTGTGCGTGGGGCTCGGCAGGCCGTTCACCCGCGACCCTCGGCTGTACCTCTGCGCCTTGTCCCTCTCATCGAAGTGCTCCAGCTCCATGTCTCTGCCGAAGGACATGATGGACTGCAAGGGGAACCTGTGAGCCCCAGAAACAAAAGCAGACACACAGCCGGAGGTTATTTAAGATCGTGGCTTGAAGAGTTCCTCTTGAGAGCAGCTGGGTGGAAATATTGTGATAATATGTACTGAATCTGAGCCATCATCGAGTGGGAGAGAAAGAGGAGGAGGACAAGAAAGAAACGGAAGAGGCAAATGCCAGGGGAAACAGCTTATTACTCAACTACAGTTTCGTTCATCTCCGAGATTATCAGTTACCTACTACCTAGTAGGTTTGGAATGGTACCTATTTACAGGCAGAGAAACTGAGGCACGGAAAATTCTCTCCTAAATTTCTCCAAATAACACAGTTGAGAAATGCTGGAACAAGGAACTTTCCCAGCTCTGCCCGACTCCAATGCTTAAGGTTCTCTGCAGACCAGTGTGCAGGTAGCACACTGCTATCTGGTAGCAGGTAGAAAAAAAAGCTTTTTTCCTATTATCATACAGCTAAAACAAGTATTGGGCCAGGGGAGAAAATGAGGGCAGGCAACATTTAACAGTTGGACTGTAAGAGTTCTGTTTACTGTACGTGTTTCCCATGGCCAGATGGAGAGCAAATTAAATCAGTCCCTAGGTTCTACCAACTTAAGGAAGACTTTCCAACAGAGGCATGTATTCCATATTATAAGAAGTGAATTCACCTTAAATTATTTACTTGTATTTAGTGCTTCAGATAAATTGGGTTAAAACAAAAAAGGGGGGGGGCAGGAAGAGGAAATCACAAAAGGAAAAAAATAATAATTAGTTGAGTGGTTTTGCCCTTCCCTCTACTTAAGGCTCTATCTTTGTGGTTGAAGAAATCAAGGCTGCAAGCTGTTGATTCATACTTGACCTTGACTTAACTGTGTAACCTTGAGAAAGCTACTTGTCTGACATATTGAAGCCTCAATTTCCTCAGTCACAAGATGGGAATGAGAATAGTACCTATCTCATTGTTAATATTAACTACTAAACAAGTTAATGGATATAAAGCATTTAGGATAGTGTCTGGCATGTGTGTAGTATTTTTTTTTTTAATTAATAGAATGGTTTCTGTTTCTGACCCCCTACAAAAAGAACTAGTAGGAGCAGAATCTTCCCCTTCTGGCAAGGTAGACAGCTGGTGACTCCTGATCTTTATTTCATGATTTTCTGAAAAGAACACCTACATCTCCCTGGTCCCCATCTCACTTTCTATGGGGCTTCACTTTCTATCAGCAACTTGCCTATGGTATCAGTTCATCCTCACTAAGAGGTTCATTGATAAAGTCTAGTGGCGCTGCCTCTTGCAGGAGAACCCATTTTTTTAACAGGACAATCTAGAAAGTGGGAAAACTTCAGCATTCAAAAATTTAAAATTTTTAAATTCAAAATTTTGAATGACACAATTTCAAGCACTCTGAAAAATAGAATATGAGGGAAATGGAAAATTTGAGGCAAGACTTTTACAAGTACCTCCCAATTTCTACCATATGGACAATGTCACCTTTCTGAAGGTGAGTCAAAACTTAAAAAAAGTATTGTTAAGTCTTTTTTGATCTTTCTGATCATTATTCAGCCTTGAGCCCGAATAAACTGACCTCTGATCCATTCAGAATGGGTAAAAATTTTATATATCAGTTTAAAAATTAATTTAAAAATTGTGATAAAAAATTTCACATTTAAAAACATGGCTACGTGATACTCCTAATATGAATGAAGTGAAAGAAAATATTATTTATGGAATGTCTAAGATATACCTGACACTAGTATTCATCAATCAATTGTACAATATGCTAAAAATATTTTCTAAACCTTACAGGAATCTAAAAGGGTAGTTATTGTTCTCAAGGGCATGAGGTGGAAATGGGTCCCAACACTGTAACTGAGGGATTGGGATTTGAACCTAAATTTACCCTGACCCCAAAGTTGGTTCTGAGCCTGGACCCTAGCTGGCATGTACAAAAGAGTTGTTTAAAGCCCTCACACCTAACTGTCTCAGGCCCTTAAGCAAGCCACCTAACCAACCAAGACCTCATCTGCACAGAGAGGAAGCAGTAGCTGCCAGGTCTCTAATGCTTCACACATTCAAGTTTATATCACTGACCCCAACAAGAGGGCTGGAAACAGTATGATTTAAACATGGAGAGAATATGAGTTTAGTGTATTCTCTCCTTCCAAATATGAAAAATACCTTATGCCTCTTAATAACTAATCATAAACTAATTTTTCATTTTTATGAAAACAGTTACACCCACAATAATCAGGTATCATTGATTTTGAAGTTTGGTAACTTTAAGACACTTACCACTTAATATCCAATCCTGGAGGCATTGGTTGTGTATTTGCCCATGATATCAGTAACTGTACCTTCCCCTCCCTCCATATATGTGTGTGTGTGTGTGTGTGTGTGTGTGTGTGTGTGTGTGTGTATTAAATGAGCTCTCCCATCTTACAAAAGGTGTGTCTGTCTTGATTGGTCGGGAAGATATTACTAGTGTTTATACCAACTCACTAAGCTCTTCAAAACTTTGTGAGTGATAAAGGCATGTTGACTTTTGAAGTGTTGTATTTCCTTTTTTAAAGGCACTGGTCATTCCTCTAACCCTAATTCCTTCAAAAGTTGTATAAACTAAAAGAAAGCAAGCAAGAATGACAAGCAGGGATGCAGCAGAAGATGATAATTGTATTATCACAAAAAAATGTATAAATCCAGTTCCAAGCGGCATTTCTCAATTCACAACTGTCAATTGTTTAAATTCCGTAGAGAAAACAGGCTTTTTTAGGAGCAAAACTTCCACATCAGTTATTGGATTTGTTCGTTTGTTTGTTTTTTAAGATTGACGTAAAACAGAAAAAGTTTAAGATGGATGCAGTGACATGCACCTGTGTATCAGCTCTCAGGAAGCTGAGGCAGGGGGATCATTCAGCCCAAGAATTCAAGACCAGACTAAGTAACATAATCAGACCCCATCTGGAAACAATAAACAAATAATAAAATAAAGAAAAGCTTATTTCACTTGATTTTATTTGCATATTTCCTCAAATTGGATCTTGTGTCCATGCAGGGATGGACAGAGACCACATCTTTTACTTCCCTTTGCTGAGCCTATCCAAAGTAGGCAAAGAGGTTGCCACCGAACAAAACCACACTCAAAGTGACATCATTGTCAACACTACAGCTACCACTTAAAGAATGTCAACAACCACACTTTATACCCTTGTGTTCTGGTAATTACGTGAGGTATCAAAACAGGTGCTCTTTCCCTAGCGTCCACTGGCTCAGCTTCCACTTGGTGTAGTGATACATGTGAACCAAAAGCTCCTAGACAAGATTGGAGGCGCTTCCTGTTGGTCACACTTCCTCCATGGGAAGCCTACTAGAACACAACAGCCCCACTCATAGTCCACATCCACTGGTGGCCAAGGGCCAGGGAACCATGTGCATGACACCAGGAGGGTAAACCACAGCACTTTGGCCACAGAGACCAGAGACACCAATTGGAGAAGGTTGCAGACAGACTCTTGTCAGAGATTTTCCTGTACATATTGCCTTGCTAGGAAACCAACATCCTCAATTGTTCTTTGTGGGATTTCTCACCATTTTGAGGAATCTATGTTCATTCTCTGGATGAGCACATGGGTTCCTGTTTCAGAATTTACAAACACACACACTAATTAAGAATCAGGCATAAAGGCTACCACATCTAAATAGATGCTGAACCTGGGAATTCCAAAGCATATTTTAGCAATGGGATTAGGATTCAGGTAGATGGAACACACATGGAATAAAAGGAACACACATGTTCTGAGCCAGTGCATCACCATGGATGTGGATAGCACAGGGTGTGTACATATCTTTCATGATTTTCCTACATATGACCTCGCTTAAAATCCCTTCTGACCCGCATTGGTGTGACATTTGGTACTTTAAAGGCTGCCCTACTTTCCTTTCCCATTGAAAGGCGATATATTTAGGAACAGATATGACATGTATTCGCCGAACACCCTGCAGTGTGGCGGCTGAACGCATGTGCACCGTAATCTGGACACACATTCACAGGTAAGGCAGAGAGGAAGCCAGTTTGAATGAAATCTTTCATGGCTCTCTCACAGACAAGCAGATGTTTGCATGCTGAATCCAGCGGCTATTCTGAGCAAACCTGGTTTTTCAAAAGCAGTCTCTTTTGTGGGGTAATGCGGGACTGTGCGTGCGCTCCCACTAGGAGGAAAATGCCATTTCCTCTCCGCATGCTTTTAGCACTGCAGGTACTAATTTGTACAGGAGGTAGCCTCGGCCTCGCTGTCCCCAGAGGAACTTGAGACCCTGCAAATGTACTTGCAACATTCACACTGCAGCCACCACCAAGCACCGATCGCCCCCGTGGACAAGTACACACCACCCTCCCGGGCACACAGGAAAGAACACACACAATAAGAGGCCAGGCCCAGCCACTCCTTCCAAGCACAGACTTGGTCCTCCTTCCGCAGCCAGTCCTGACAATGACAAGCACCTCTCAGAGATCCTCGCCCTGCTCTCGGTCTCCACTAACAACGCAGCGAAGACCCTGGGGGAGGGGGTTCTCACCCTACTCCGGGTTTAAAGCCCGGTGGCACCAGACAAAAGAGGCAGGTGCCAGGAGCCCAGGGGCCGCCCTCACACAAGGCCCCCGGCCGGGGCCAGGCTGGCGAGGGTAGGGCAGTCGCCTTTCGAGGAACCGCGGGCGGGGCGGCTGCCGCCAAACTGGGCGCCCGCCCTGCCCTGGGCGTCCTGCAGCTGCGGGCAGAGTGAGCACTGCGGGGCCTGGGAGCAACCCTCCCCGCAGCTCGTTTCCCCAGCAAAAGCAAACCACGCACCGGTCCTAGGAGAGTCGCCGGGGATCTTTGTGGCCGCGCTTGGGGCTGCCTCCTGGAGCTGTCCTTGCCCTGCTGGGTGCGGCTGGGGCTGCGGGGCTGTGGGGCTGGGGGCGGCGTCGGTGCGGGGCTGGGCGGCAGCAGCTGCGGGAGCACGGGCGTCTCGGCTGCGGCCACTAGTGCAGGGATGTGCCTTGGCCGGTCCTCATTGAAATGCGGCGCTTCGCACAGCCTCACTCCAGCCTCTCTTCCGAGGAGGGCGGCGGCGGCAGGCGCGCTCCCTTTTCTTGTGTCTCACTCGCTCACACGCCCTCCCTACTCCCTCCTTCTCCTCCTCCGCGCGCGCCCCGTCACTCCAGCCTCTCTTCCGAGGAGGGCGGCGGCGGCAGGCGCGCTCCCTTTTCTTGTGTCTCACTCGCTCACTAGCCCTCCCTACTCCCTCCTTCTTCAATCACTGTGATCCAGGGTATTGGACCTTTTTTTTTTTTTCACTTCTGCCTTTTTTTCCCACCTTTGCAATTTTTTCCCAATCTCAAAACTTTTATAGATGCTGTTCAGTTCATTTGGCCTAGAAATACTTCCTCCTGTTTACCCTCCTCCCTGTTTTAGCCTGAATAATTTACACACCTTCTCCAGATACTAGAATGCAAATTACTTTTTCAGGGAGCTGTTTCCTGAATAAGTGATATGTTTTCACCCAAACTTGCTTCA